CGATCTCGCTCCATGGTGTGATGCCGGCGTCTCACTTCTGTTGGCCGGCATTCACCCACCATTGAATCTGATCCAGAACTGGGGCCGTTTCCACTCTTCTGAGGGGGAGCCAGGAACTTCACCATTTTGTCGTCTGGCTTTTCCGACATCCCACCACCCTCACTTAGAGTTAGGGCGTACAATAACTGAAAAGTTAAAATAAGGATATTTCCATGTCCATCATACAGGCTTATATGAGCAATATCTATCTGTGCTTTAAAAAGAAAAAAGATAGAAAGGCCAACAACTTCTATCTCTGGCTGTCTTTTTTATTGCTCAAAGACGGTCTTTATAAATATAGTGCAGAGACTGGAGGTGTAAGATGGGAGGTGTTCTCTTGTAAATGGAAAAAGATTGAACACCACAGCAGAACACAGAGTGCTGATGTCGATACACAAGTCTCTTTAGGTCCACACCATCCATCCTGTAAGACCCAGGGTGTAGCCTCTATCAAGCATAAGGAATCACTGGTGAGGAACAAATGCTCACAGCCTGCAACAGGCACCAAACTTCCTACTGTAGGCAATGGTAGGATGGCCAGACACTTCAGATATGCCCAAGTCCAGTTTCACTGCAAGACAATAAAGAAAACAAAAGCTGCCTCAAATGTTTCAGAAAGTAACCAACATTATGTCAAATGTCAACAAGATTTGTAAGAAGCAAGTCTAAGTGTTCACAAATAGAATTTACAGTACACATAAAGTTTAATTACACTGCTTTACACATAAGCACAACTGACACACACCACATGCATTTATATTGTACTGCATTGAACCACCATCATTTTGTGATAAACTTTTGATAAAGCAAGATAAATCTCTCTTTAAAGTTCCCCTGCTTTGATACAATTTGCTGTCTTACCAAAGGACATGTCATATACCGTAGGGCACGTTTACCCTCACACTTGCTTCAGTGCAGGTCTTACTCAGTGTTATTGTATTTTTCAGCTATGCCCAATCGATACACCATTCAACTGGTTTATTTAGTAAGCATTAAAATTAACTATATTAAGTGTATAAGATAAATAAGTATTTAAGTATGCAATGCGTGACAAATCCCAAATGCATTCCATAGCCCATAGGAGTTACACACTAACCTCTAAATGCCTCTGACTTGTTAAAGAGCAGAAGCAATTGAGCACAGTTGACTGCTGATTCTTTCTCTGTCTCCAGTATAAACAAGAAATATATATAATTGCTATTTAAAAGGCTAATGAATATAGTCTGAACAAAAATTATGTCCAATATTGAAACAGCTCTGTACACTAAACGATAGACTGAACGATATTTTATCTTCTGCTGCAAAAGATCGGTGCAATTTAGTGTGATTATTTTTGCAATTGTTAAGAGGCTTGCAATGACAATCTTATTACTTATTAGTCATCTATACCCTGCCATGTTTGCAGCCATTACCAGCGTAGACAACTACAATGTCAAGACGAAACCTGGCAATGTTAGCGACAATAACATCCTGAAAAATAAAACAGACGACAGTTCAAATGAATTAAATTAGTATTTTAATTAACATAAACCTCGCCTTACGTACCTATATCTTCGTCGCTTTATAAGTGAAACAAGAGCCATTTGAAACGGCAACACCGAGCATACAAAGCAAGGAGGAGCAACGGCTCTTTGTTAGCCAGCTAACGAGCACAGCTAACACAGCGCTAGTTAGCTTGCGTTAGCTAATCCTCAACCAGTGAAACGTTAACCAACGATGAATTATTTCCCTGTCACGTCATTTATTTAAAATCATTCCGCCGTGTTTTTAGAAACAGCTTACACTTATTCCACGTAGCTACTTCGTACAGTCATTTGACGTATCTCTAAACGTTAGCAATAAGCGTTTACTGTATATTGACAACTTTACCGTATCCAAGTCCAGCTTCCATCCCTGACTGACCAACATTACAAGCCTTGCTAACACACCGGATACGATGTGACGCCGGTTGAAAAGCAACCAGGCAGTGACAAATAGCGCCAGTGCTACGCAGCTAGCTAATGTTAGCTAGGCGGGTCTTACTGTTGGCCTACGAGGCTAGACCCACCTCCTAGCTGCCCCCATTCAATTTGACGTTATTTGAGGGGTTAATAACACTGACGCTTCATTTGTTGTTACTACGCAATGTAAAATATACTTTGACAACCTGGTCCACGACGACTATTTCTAGCCGTCTGGTACACTCTCTACATTACATCTGTTAATGTTTGATAACGTTACACTCGTTAGCTGCTGTTCGTTGCTACGTCTGGCTTTGCTAATAGTTTTAGCATTGTAGCCCTTCACGACCTAGCTAGCGGCGCCGGGTGGCAGACAGCAACCTACCTCAGTATCGTATCCACAACACAGCCAACGGTCATCGGCGTTGAAATTGTTCACACAGCGTGAATCTGTCTTCGTATATATTAATGGGAACACATGTACATTATCCTTAAGTGTGAAGCGGGAACGTTACGCAGTTAGTGAATGTCAAAGTTAAGGTTTGTGGGCTCGCTTTCAGTTGCTACATATTAACGAAGAAACAGGTTTCTCCGAAAGCGCCTGCGCCAGTGAAGAATGACCTCATAACCATAACCATAACATACACACATCAATTTGAAGCACCTTCATGAAATTTTTACCTTTTTATCATTTAATCTGCCTGCATGTTTTATTTTATTGTATTTACTTATAATTTTGATGGCACCTTCCATTTCTTCAGTTTAACACGTCTGTTATGATAAATGGAAAATCGATGTTTTTTATTATTTAAATCAATACAGACAAAACACAGTTTTGACAAAACGTTTTAATTTGATCACACCATAAGTAGCTGTAAATAGGTTATGAGATGTGATCCCATTATTAAAACACAGAGAAGAATTGTTTATGAGCCATGACGTCTGCTCAATTTCCTTTATTTCGTGTACTGAAAAAAGAAAACAATCTGCAAGACCATTAGATTCTTTTGCAGCGATTATGTCGGTTTCACAGGTAAGCACTGCCCCCTGCTGGTATATGACATGGCATTTGTTTCCCCTATATAGTATTTCATCCAAAATGAAATGTTCACTGCTGAAGACAGTATATTTTCAGTGTCTAATTAATATTTTATTGTCAATTTCAGAGGAGGATACTCTAAACTGAATAGTAATAAACTACATTTTCAATAGTGCCTGCTTACTGAATGTAATTCTGAAACACTCCAGAGTTTGACCACAACTTTAACCTCTCCCATCATATTTACTCAAAGCAATGTATTTTTGTCAAAATGTTGGAAGGCCTGCTCCCTGCTACATCCTCGCACCGTAAATTCGTGGCCGCGCGTTTAAAATTCAAGCGTGGCGAGGAAGACCGCCGTGAACGCGCACAGGAGGCTTGACGTCACTGAGGCGCCCTGGCTCTCCTGAGCCGCTGGTACTGCTGGTAAAAAGATGGGAAAATCAGATAGACATCTATCGAGCAATTAACATAAAATGACCGTTTTTGCAGCAGATTTTCATCCACTTGACAGAGGATTCCTTGATGGCAGCGGTTTGAGCTCTACCAGACCACGAGAAAGGTAGTTTGTTTGGAGAGGTTTTCTCCACTGGCTATTGTGTTAGCGAGAAAAAATAGAGGTTCTGCTTGACCACATAAATTGGATGGACAAGCCTCCATATGTCACGTCGAGCTAACGCTAAATGTTATGTGTATTTGATATTTTAGCTCTTTCCTTGATATATAGTGGACTCACAGTTAGTTATGTGAAGCGCTGAATAAAGAAAACCGTAGCTTAAAATGAAAATCCGTTCAGTAGAGGAGGAGGAAAATGGATATGGTTTGATATGGGTGTCTCCAAAGCAGACCCTGTACGTTGTCGTAAAGATTTAGCAAAATGCTTCATTTCTAGTTTAATGTGTCACAATTTGACACCGCATGTAGTGGACTTATCACATCAAATATGTAGCTATCTATCTCAGAGGCTATTATTTCTATTTGTGTTCATTTTTACAAGCTGGAAGATTTTTTTCCCTTACAGTGTCCACCATGGACCAATCCCATTTGCCTCCCTTGCTAGTTTTAATCCATAGCGTCAGCACATTGAAAAAAGGATTCATTTATTCAAGATTTAGTCCTCGGGCAAAATGTGTGTACACACGTCTCACGCATAAAGACAACAATTTGGGGATAACACGTAGTTAAAGGTAGAAATGTCAGCCTTTACTGTTAGCCGGTATGTTAACGTAACGTTAGCTGCTAGCAAGGCCACGCAGACTACCTAGTTAAATGGCTGTGGTTGAAATTCAATTTAAAAACAAAATGCAAAACAGAGCACAAACCAGAATAGTCAGACACATTTCCGTACGCAAAAGATACGTGAAGTGTAACTCTTGTAACGTTACATACTAACATTTCGTCTCAAATGCTACTTACCAACAGGTACAACGTTACAGCATAACCTTTGAATAGGATAAACCTAAAATCTGTGGCTACAAAACTTTTCCACATCCGTCCTCAAGGAGATATGTAATAGGTCGATTAGTAAGGAATCTAGTAAAGGACCCTATCTGAGAAGAATGTTTGCTCTTGGAGATGACTTTATAGAGTTACATAACTGTCTGTTTAGCAGGAAGGAATCCAGTAAATACAGTTAAACCTAAGCACAGAGTAGGCATCTCTACTCATCTTCATGGTGCTAAATGTTAAAAAGTGAACTTGAAATTAGATGTACTATTGCTCATTTGCTGGAGATGGATGGAGACCTCTTCAATGACCCCCAGTGGACTCTAGACTGCATGATAAAACCACTGGGCTGTTTAAAATAGGGTTCTCAGAGTTTGATGATGATTAAGTTGGGTTTCGATAATACTTTGTCAATTTTGCATTTATCCAGTTGTCTTATTAATTTATAGCAGCTGCTTTATGTATGCTATTGGTATGCAATTTATAGGGTACAACTGTGTTTTCTTTGCAGGTTGGTGTCATAATTTAACACTGGCTAGCTCCTGTTGGAAGAGGGAAGTCTTTTTTATCATGAACATTGTGCCGACCGTCTCCAGTTGAAGCAGGGTCACCGCCACATTTTCACACAATTGCTGAAAGTTACAACCACAAAATCAGCAAGAATATAACAGACACTCAAGGTCATATTCAGTTTTGCAGTCAGCTCAATTCTTCTATTTCGCAGAAGATGTATGGTAGTGCCCGCTCTGTTGGCAGAGGGGATGCCAACCATAGTGGAGGAAGAGATGGAGGTGGCACTGGCAATCAGGGATCTGGCCGTTCTCCTCGCCTTCCCCGTTCTCCTCGGATGGGACACCGTCGCACCAACAGCACCGGAGGCAGTGGAGGGGGACCTGGAGGAGCAGGAGGCAAGACCCTTTCCATGGAGAACATCCAGTCCCTCAACGCTGCGTATGCCACCTCAGGCCCAATGTACCTGAGTGACAATGAGGTTGCTATGGCAGGGGACCACCTTCCCAAAAGTGGCGGGACTGTGACGACCATGGGTAGACAAAGGGTGACATATGGGTCGAGGGGCAGCAGCAGCGGAGTGGTGGCTGCTAGCACCCCCAACATCTCCACCTCAGTGCCTGCCAATGCTGTGTTGCCAGCAGGCATGATGGCGGGTGATGCTCTAGCTTTTGGGGACCACCACATGGCCTCCACTGTGCCCCATTCTCTGAGGCAGGCCAGAGACAATACCATACTTGACCTGCAAGCTCAACTTAAAGAGGTATTTTGATGATTTTTCTACCAGTTTCCAGATTTTCTCTATCAAAGATGTGGGAAATTTTGAGGCTAACTTGCCCAGTTTGACAGACCATATACCTGTATCCAGTATTTATGTGCTACTCCTTTATCCTGCTTTCTCAGGTTCTGCGTGAGAATGAGATGCTGCGGCGGGAAGTGGAAGTTAAAGAGAGCAAACTCAGTTCCTCCATGAATTCTATCAAGACCTTCTGGAGTCCAGAGTTGAAGAAGGAGCGAGCTCTCAGGAAAGATGAGGTTTCTAAGATCGCTGTCTGGAAGGAACAATACCGTGTGATTCAAGATGAAGCACAAGTGAGTGTTCCCATATATTTGTTTGAAGAGATTGCATAGATGAGTTTGTCTCAGAATTCCTGTTTCTGAGCTCATCAACTAATTTTTCTCTATTTGAACAGAATCATCAATCTGCCTGGGTCAGACATGTTGGACTGGAGAAATGCATTTCACAGTGTGTCAGCTTTAGTGCAAGCATGTTTCTCTCCCTCTTTCTTCTCTCTCTGCATAGGTTAGAGGCAGTTTTTGAACATCTAGTTAATCCTCTTATACGCAGCTATATGCTCATGCTTAATAGATGAAAGAGGCCATAAGTCTAATGGCTGCATTAGCATCTCTGTATGTTTCAGAAATTGCTGGATGTGGTGAACAGGATAAAAATGTGGAGAAATTGCAAATTTAACACTAGGTATATGTGCTGTATTTTAACATCTGCAGAAAATAAGAAATCAACTTAAGAATGATGTTAAGATGATCTTCAGTCATGGGTAAAAGTAATAAAGCACACTTGTGAACAGCACTTTTTATTTAGTATTTTAGTTATGTGCCTTTCAACAATATTGAAAAAAGTTCTTTTCTGGTGTATCATGTGTTTTGGACACAGGTGATGTACCATACATTGAAGTGGAAAAAAAACAAATACATGATTTGTTCTTCAACAGAAATCCATACCAAAACTACAAAATTCACTTTTTCTCATAGATTGAAATACAAATACATGTGCTGAGAGGAGACAGGGTTTAGATGGAAGAAGAACACTTCCAAGAGTGACAGTATCTGTGTACTATGTATGTCTGATTGCTTTTATAACATTACAAGATTTTATCAATTTCCTCTTTAATTTTAGCTTTTTTCTTTCTTTTTTTTTTCACAATCAAAATTAAGTATAGAACAGTAAACTGGACTTGTTATTGTACGTTGAATATGTGTTGCCATTCATCCAATTGGCTTCTTCATTTCCGATGTCAGGTGTGGAAACCCAGCACTTTCAAACACCTTGTATTTCCTATAATTTCTTCTGTGTCAGTTGCTCATCAGTCTGTCAGCCTGCACACATGTGTAGACACTGTATGCACACATTTAACAAGTGAATACATACTCACAAAATCTATTTTTAAAACCTGCTGTATGTTGTGGAAACTGTGTAAATTAGGTTTCAGTAATGAAGAGGAATAGTCTTTGTTTTGCTGTGATTCTTAATGGATGGGCTGACCTGTATAATTTGCTGTTTTCACTCCTGCTGAGTCACAGAATCACATTGTGGACTAATTCCCAGTAATGCCCGACTTGCGCAGGGCAAATTAGTGGGTGCTGTAATTTAAAGATGTCAGCCTCCACCTCCCACGCTGGCACACATGCCGCGGAAAGCATGGACACACACAGACACTCAAAAGGCATTTGATTAAGTATGGCTTCTGTTGAACTGCATGCACTCATTGAACATAGCTCCAACTGACTGTGCATACGTCCGCAGTTGTATGTTTACGTTCAAGCGTATGTGCAGTTTTGATACATTTCTGTGCTTGCTATGCTGATATGTTTGGCTGGCCACAGTGTTTCCAAATCTGTACTGCAAGGCATATTTCTCAGTCATCATCTGTGATAAGTGACTGCTATTACCTAGTGCGTGATAGTGTGAAATGGCTGTCATCTTCCTTTTCCTGTTAAAAAAGCTCAGATACTCGCCTAATAATCATCAGTTATTTCTTGTTAAATACTCCTTACCACATGGATTAAACATCACATTTATCATAGGATGTTGTGAAATACTAATGGTTTATCAGCTGATACACAGTAGTAGTGATGTTAGTGCAGCAGCAGAAGATTACATTGATAAGATGGGGAGAATAAATAAAAAGGAAATACGTATCACACACAGCATCTTTAACATTTTAACTTGTATACAGTTTGTCCAGTGGTGTGGATGCTCTGTAGCAGAGGTTTGGTTTTGTTTTGTTAGGAGCTGTGACTGACTGTTTAGATCAGTTAAGTAAGTGCATCACATCTCCTATGCTTTGTGCTCTCTCTCAAACACCTGACTGTTATCTCTCCTCAGGCAGAGAGTGAGAATATAGGAGGGGAAGGGAGAAGGTGTGTGTGCGCGCGCGTGTGTGTGTGTGTGTGTGTGTGTGTGTGTGTAACCGTGCTTGTTCGTGCATGCATCTGGCTGTGTGTGTGTTTGAGGGTGGATCGGTGCAGTCACAGCAGTGAGTCAGCCTTAGTCACGGGGTGGAGAAGGTGATGGAGAGGGAGGGTTAGTGAGAGGAGAGGTGAGAGTATTGGAGGGAAGAGATAGGGCGAGAGCAGGCAAGGTAGATGAATAGTGTGTGAGGAGGAGAGTAGTGTGTGTGCCGGTGGAGGGAGAACGAGAGAATGACAAAGGAAGGAAAGGGAGGGGGCTGGAGGAGGAGGACAGAGAGAAACGAAGGCAGACACTGACTTCTCTCTTTGTTCCGTCGTCTGAAAACGCTCACAGCTGGTTCAGACCAGAGTGTAACACAGCCTTGTGTTACTGTCTCTCAGCAACCCTGCCAAGTGTCCGTGGCGTCAGATGCCACAAACAATGCAATACTATACTGGGCTGATTGTGTTTCACCACTTGTATTTGTCTGGGCATGAAATGTAACACTGTCCACAAAGCCCGGCTATTGGGGGTGCATCTGTCAGGGCACTGTTACGTTTTCAGTCATGATTAGAGGCTGATTTTTAACAAGCTGTAACACAATATTATTCCGGGATCCATTATATAAACAAATACACAAACCCCTGTATCATTCAAATAATTAATATATTTCTTCACCACATCTACCCCTGTGTAAATAATTTTGTAATAAATGCGAGCAAACAGAAAGAAGAAGAAATTAATGTTAACAAATGTCTCTTATTTGTCTCTAGCATCTCCAGATGACTGTTCAGGCTCTCCAGGATGAGCTGAGGATCCAACGGGACCTGAACCAGCTGCTGCAGCAAGATCCCGCCAGCCAAGGCCGGGACCTGGCCCTGACATCTGAACCGACAGAGGAAAACTACCGGCGGCTACAGGCCGAGCATGAGAGGCAGGCCAAAGAGCTCTTCCTCCTAAGAAAGACCCTGGAGGAGATGGAACTGAGGATTGACACACAGAAGCAAACCCTGGGAGCCAGAGATGAATCCATTAAGAAACTTCTGGAGATGCTGCAGAGCAAAGGTAGTTTTGAGCTTCAGGAGAGTAGCAAAGCAACAGGTCTACAGGTTTTCTATTGGCCAATAGATTCTGCTTCCTTTTTTGGGGGGGGGGGGGTTAAACAGAGTTTGCTGGTCCTCCTGTTGACTTTATATAATACATTTCTCCCACAAACATTTTGGGTATCAATAGTTTTTGTTCTCAGACCATCACTTTAAGTGGATGTGGTTACTGCTTACTGTTCCCCCTCATCTCAACCTAAGGCATTTCCCCTGTTGTCCCAGTATGGGTTTCTTTTCTCCATAAACTGACCACAATGCATGCTTTAAAAACCCAAGCATGCTTCTGAGGCTGCAAACATTCAAGGATTCCATGAATAGGTGTCTCTCAGAATAATTGCATGTTATAGTCTTAGGGCCAAAAATACTCAGAATGTCATTGGAATATGCAGGACTATGAAGAAACCTAAAACCAATTTAAACCCCATGTCTTAAATAAATAGAATAGTAAATAAAATAAAAACACACTGACATAAATTAAATTCAGTATGCCATTTGGTTATTTGGTCTCAGCTCCCATCTTAGTCGGTGCAAAGTTAACCACATGGCTTATGATGCTCAAGTTGTTTGTTATAAAGACCTAAACTTTCAACTCCATGAACATGTTTTTTATGTACTTCATTGTCGTAACCAGGTTGCTATGTTTGTTTTGTCAGGGCCATCTGCAAAGGCATCAGAGGAGGATCAGGAACGGACCAGGAGACTGGCTGATGCAGAGATGCACAGGCATCACCTTGAGAGTTTACTGGACCAGAGAGACAGAGAGATTACTGCACTAAGAGAGGTAATGTCGAATACAACCATGGGGGATACGTATATAGCAGTCTGTTTCTATGGTTATGTTATTGCGGTTATGTTATTTTGTTTATTGACTGCTCAGAAACTTTACATAGATACTGTAGTTTATCAATACAAGCAACTTACAGTTTCTTTTGACCCAGCAGGAGCTGCACCGTCGGTATGAGGGAACCCCCGAGTCCACCAAAACTAAGGCTCTGCAGACTGTCATCGACATGAAAGTGAGGATTTAGATAGAGCGCTGTGTGTGGTGACATATGGGGTGTGTGCATGCTACATGAGTTAACTCCTCTTCATCACCCCCAGGATGCAAAAATCAACTCAATGGAGCGGAGCCTGAGGGACATGGAGGAGGAACTGCTGATGCTGAAATCCAATGGACTTCTTAGCTGTGAGGAACGTCAGGAGGAGATGAAGCAGATGGAGGTTTACCGCAGCCACACCAAATTCATGAAGAACAAGGTCAGAGATAATATGAGATTTAGTTTGACTGAACTGCTGTAATTCTGCATTACCTCACATATCTATCTATGTATCCCCATCTCTCCCTCTTCCTTGTTTTCCCCCTCTGACTTTTCTTTTTCAGATGGAGCAGGTGAAGCAGGACCTCTCCAGGAAGGACACTGAGCTGCTTGGTTTGCAGACCAAGCTGGAGACACTCACCAACCAGTTCTCAGACAGCAAGCAACACATTGAAGTCCTCAAGGAGTCTCTCACTGCCAAGGAGCAGCGAGCTGCTATCTTACAGACAGAGGTACAGCAGATACATATCTTTACACTTTATATGCCCAGTGGACTTACTGGAATAGCTATACAGCACTTTAAAGGGTATATACTTTGTGTAGTGAGTGTAGAGACTTTTTCCTCCTACTTTGGAATGATTGTACTACAAATAAAAGCACAGAAGTTATGCTAACATTTGTTAACATAAGTTTAATGTTAACAAAGTTTTACGGTTTTCTTTGCTTTTTCCCACTTTTTAAAAAAACATTTTTTTGAATTTGTGAGAAAGACACAGTTATGGTTTGTGGCAGTTGTAAATTGTCTGCCTTTTTCTGGCCAGGTTGATGCCTTGCGCCTGCGCTTGGAAGAAAAAGAGGCAACTTTGAATAAGAAGAGCAAGCAGATACAAGAAATGTCAGAAGAGAAGGGCACACTCAATGGGGAAATCCACGACCTCAAGGACATGCTGGAGGTTAAGGAGCGCAAAGTTAATGTGCTGCAGAAGAAGGTGATTTGGACTAAGAGCCATTTAAAAGATCGTGTGTTGAGTTTGTTGGGTAAAATGGCCACAAAGATACATCCATCGTGTCACAGCACGTGTCCTGTGGTTGTTGTTTATTTTGACTGATGGTTACTTGTGATTGCTCTGCAGATTGAGAACCTACAAGAGCAGCTCAGGGACAAGGAGAAGCAGATGAGCAGCCTGAAGGAGAGAGTAAAGTCTTTGCAGGCAGACACTTCCAACACTGACACTGCTCTCACCACACTTGAAGAATCTCTTGCAGAAAAGGTGAATTTATGTCTGCGCAAAATCTGACTGGTGCCTCAGCAAATTTGAGTTTGTACTTATTTATGTTCATTTGTAGCAATGCACATGTGTTGGTTATGTTTGTAAAGGAGGTTTGTTTCCTCTACCTCCACGTAGGAGCGCATCATTGAGCGTCTAAAGGAGCAGCGAGACAGAGACGACCGGGAGAAGACAGAGGAGCTTGACTGTAACAAGAAAGAACTGAAAGAGTTGAAGGAGAGACTGAGCTTACTGCAGGGAGACCTGTCAGACAGAGAGGTGAGAAACGGTTTCAAAAACACAAGTTCACAAACACAGGCAAACTCTTGTATACTGTGATTTTTTTTCTTTTTTTTTTTCTTTTTTTTTTTTTTTTCCATTAGTCCCACTTTTACGATGAGTCATGGATGCCAGTATTAGATTTAATGTATTTTCAGTCTCCTCAGTCCCATGCCCTGGTAGTTTGATAATCTGAAACAGGTTCATCTCTACTTTTATACTTATGCTGTGTATGTGGGTGTATGTATATGCAGACCTCACTGTTGGACCTGAAGGAGCATGCATCATCCTTGGCCTCCTCAGGGCTGAAGAAGGACTCAAAACTCAAGAGTCTGGAGATCGCTCTGGAGCAAAAGAGGGAGGAGTGCCTCAAACTGGAGAACCAGCTTAAGCGAGTAAGATGCTTTACATAGAACAATCAGCCAGGATGTGACAAGCTCAACAGAATACAATCCCACTTAGTTTTTATTAGTTTTCTGATGTCTGCCCGCTAACCCTGAAAGGGACTACAGCTGATTTCTAACCTGCATCTTGTCCTCTGTCAGGCTCAAAATGCAGCCCTGGAGGCTCAGGCTAACACTGAGCTGGCCGAGCGCATTAGGAACCTTGAGCAGGAAGTGGCCCGCCACAAAGAGGATTCTGGGAAAGCCCAGGCTGAAGTGGACCGCCTACTGGAGATTCTTCGGGAAATGGAGAATGAGAAGAATGACAAAGATAAAAAGATCAGTGAGCTGGAGAGGTGGGTGGAAACATGCATGTGAACTACACCTGAAAGATGTGGACTTCACTCTGCACTGTTTGCTCAAACTTTACCATTTTCTCTATTCAGTAGTTAATGAATGTTTGTCAGTTTTATGTGCTGGGGGTTTCTGATTGTTAACCCTGAAATAAGTATTTAGTCTTAAATGTTCACAATGTAGAGACTGTGTTGTGTCTCATAGAAATTCTGAGTCTTTTATGGACTGTTTTTTTTTTTTTTAATTGTTCGGCAGCTGAGCTTTCTGCTATCTGTTACCATCCCTGCTAGCTTGGATTTGTGACCCCTGTTCCGCTTAAGTGATGCAAATTTTCCTTCAGTGACTTCATGTCACCTTGGAGACCGTTGCCCCTGGCACACTAAATGGTGGATTTTAGTGTAATTCGGCCAACTGCCATTTGACATTTTAGCGGCATTGCTTTGAAAGCTGATGTGGTGAATGTTACAGCTACAGTAATTGGAATAAGCAAGCTGTCTTTCAAGTAGTGTTTCCATGACTCTTGTCTTATCCTTGTACGTGGTGAATTTTGTGACCTTGTAACATCAGATTTAAAGACACTAAATAATCATAGAGCTGATGTGTATGAGGGCTCCCCTCTTCCTCTCTTTTTTCTTCATATGTGCTCATCTTCCTGGTCTGAGTCTCTTTTTCTCTTTACTGCTTTCTTGTCTTTACAACGGAAATCTCTCACCCTACCAGTTTGGCCTCCAGGTTAGTATTTGCTCTTTTTCTCTCTCTCTCCCCCTGACATCGTTTTACTCTTTGTCTTCTTCTCACATTTCTCTTCCTTTGTTTCTCTTCACCTCTTGCCTCTCCTTAGTATGTGGTGCTGCAAGCAATTGCCTTATCCTGACATATTGAACTCTTTTTCTTTTGCCTTTCCCCTGCTCATGCTCATTTTTCCTCTTTCGCCTTTTTATTGTTCTCTTTCACCCTGAGTCAAATCTGAGATTGACTCTTTGCAGGGCTGTCAAATCTTGCCAAAGCAAGCCTATGAGGCTATGTTTGTGACTGTCGTGTGTTTTTAAAATAGATTTTGTTTGATGGAATTACATATCTGGATCCCTGTATTTAAAACTATTTATTTTTCACTTTTTCCCCAAATTAATTTTTCATTTGGAATGATAAATGTTACATTTATGTCAATTAGGGCCATAGACTGACTTGTACATGTACATAACTTCTAACTCCATCCATGCATCCCATGGTGTCCTTTTAGGCAGATGAAGGACCAGACGAAGAAGGTGGCGTCTCTTAAGCACAAGGAGCAGGTGGAGAAAAGCAGGAACGCTCGACTCATGGAGGAGGCTAGAAAGAGGGAGGACAATCTGTCTGAGACCTCCCAGCAGGTGAAGGTAAGGCTTGTGTGTGGATCGCTTGGACTGTATGTACCTTGCAAAAACATTTGCATTTTCTGGCACTGACCTCTTTCTGGTCCTGTCCCGAAGGACACTCTGCGTCAGAAGACGGAGCGTATAGAGGAGCTGGAGGAAGCCCTGAGAGAGAGCGTTCAGATCACTGCTGAGCGAGAGATGGTGCTTGCACAGGAGGAGGCTGCCAGGTCACTGCAGGAGAAACAGGTACACAAACCCCCCCGAAACACACACGCACGATCATGACAGAGCAATATTAATCAAGCCACAGCATCAGATCTACAATACATGCGTATCTCAACACGTCTATATACAGATATCAAAAACCTTCATATACTGAGATTCTTTCTCCCTCACCTTTTTGCTGCCATTGTGGTGTTTCTCATCCCCTCTTCACCTCCCTCCTCTCTTCTGGCCTCCTCCTCTTTCTCAGTTCTTTTATCTTTGCTTGTCGTTTTCTCTTGTTTTCTCTCTGCTACACACTGCCTCTCAGAAGCACTCACTCAAACCAATGCATGAGTCCAACCTCGCCCACTTTAAGTGGTCTAAGGTATGATCCAGTATGTGTGACCTCCATCAGTGAGCAACAACACTTACATGGGGTGGACACAATAACGGCAACACCTCTACAATTCATGCAGTCCCATGCAATAGCCCTTCCATAAACATGTTTGTGAAGTTTGGTCATTTTTGGGGCCTTTGAGTTTGATTGATGTTGGACTACATGTCTTTGCAAAGTGTTTCCCTTGTTTCCAGCCCATGTAAATTTAATGTTATTTTGTTTACCTGTTGTTTGCTTATGAAACATGCTCATTAATTGGTTTGTTCATATGCCAAATAGCCAATAACATTGATCATTTGGGGATGAATTATTCACTCTCATTCAGTTACCTGTGATGAAAGTATGTATTGATATGGAATAGAGGAACTCTTGTCCTTTTTTAAGTAAATAACAGGTAAATGAAATTTAGTGCTGTAATTTAAAGGTACTTGTTTTATAGTTGACCCCTATTCCTTCCCAAAAGCCCACATGAATCCTGCCCCTGCCTCTTTATTAGAGCAGTTTATATTGGCAAATCCTTAAAGTCTTTTCTTGAAAAAAGCCCCCTGTTTTCACTGATGGATTTAGATCATCTGTTCTTACTGTATTCATGATTGAATTGTTTGTGTATGTGTGTGTGTTCCCAGATGGAGGAGCTACTGGGGGCCATGGAGAAGGTGAAGCAGGAGCTGGAGTCTATGAGGGCCAAGCTGGCCTCCACCCAGCAGTCTCTGTGTGAGAAAGAGGCACACCTCACAACCCTGCGAGCTGAGCGCAGGAAACACCTGGAGGAGGTGCTGGAGATGAAGTAAGACATGTGTGCGCGCACACACACACACACACACACACACAGTTGGATGGAATATACCCTAGATTATTGATTGCTGCCTTCATCATGTAAAATGTCATCCAATTCTGGCCTTCTCCAGCTGGCAGGATGATTTTGTGCAATGAATTATAAATGATGATTGAGCTATTTACTTGTGGTAAAATGCCATATTGTTTCATCCCTACCTTACAGGCAGGAGGCGCTGTTGGCTGCTATCAGCGAAAAGGATGCTAACATCGCCCTTCTGGAGTTGTCCTCCTCTAAGAAGAAGAAGACCCAGGATGAAGTGGCTCTGCTGAAGCGGGAGAAAGACAGACTGGTACAACAGCTGAAGCAGCAGGTAAGGGAGGGGTCTTCTGCAATCCACTGAGGGGGAATACACGACTAAGACGTCACATCAGTTCAAGCCTAACTATGATTAAACGCCTTCATGTTATTTCTGTTTCTCTCTCCTGCATGTCGCACACATGATGTGTTCACCAGTGAAGAACAGAGTACAGGGATAGAGTGCCCAGCTAGAGGAAATTTTGGAAAGAAGTGTTACTTTCCACAGTAGTTTATGTAACCAGCAGGCACACTGCACAATTACATGCCAGATACCAGTAAAATATGTATAGACCCATATGATTATCTGACTTCTTGTACTGCTGGACACTGGCTACTTGGCTATAACCACACCCCCAGATTTCTGAATATGGTAAAATGTTATTATAAAAGATGCAAACGCTGACCAAAACTACAAAAATAATTTGTCATCACGTCAATTTCCTGCTCTTTCTTCCCTCTCTTCTTCATGTCAGAGAAGTGTTTGTTTTAATCCTCACTGTCTTTAATTTACAGACTCAGAACAGGATGAAGCTGATGGCAGACAACTATGAGGATGACCATCTGAAGACTGCCCCTGACCAGACGAATCACAAACCCTCTCCAGATCAGGTAGCTTACCTTAACCACCAATTAGCTGGATTATGTTTTTTATTTCATGCTTAACAGCTTCTCTAAAATTTCTGCAACTGATTGGTTAACAAGGTAATGTCTGTTGTAACAAGGCACAGAACTGATTCATGCTCTCTGAAGGGAATTACAATGAAATGAAATGTCTATAAACGCACTAACCAAATGTTCCTTTCTAATGCTGCGATTGGCTCTACCATGTGGCTAACAGGATGATGAGGAGGGTATTTGGGCGTAGCCAACCTTTTGCCCTCCCCCTCTCTCTCTCTCTCAGCCATTTTGTTCAGAAGGGTGAGCTCGTGTGAAAAGCCAGACCTGTCGCACCTTTCTTCATCGTTGCTCTGCGGCACGTTTACTTGTCTTCCATTCATTTGTGGTTTTCTTTTCGTCTCGTGTCATTCCTCTTTTCTCACTGTTGATGGTCATTGTCATCGTTATTTTGTCGTTCTGTGAGAGCAGTTCTCACCACTCATCCCGTGCTTTAACACTGGTCATGGTATTGCCTTTTAGTGGCTTAAGGGATAGGGATCAGTGGTGTGTGTGTTCTGTGTGTGATTGCATGCACAAGCTAAGAGGATGAGATGGTTTTGATTCTGGCTCAGTCTCATCACCTCAAATTAAAGCATCTTAGCTTTGCATGCCAATGCTCTAACACTAATGAATGGCTGCTCACATTTTGACTCACATGAACAGGTGTCGCACTGTACAACATAATCAGAGGTAGAGTAAGTAACTTTCTTGAGCTGCACATACATAAATAACATGCATACATATGCTAATAATGTACCTGAGAAGGTTGGCTCTAATGTGAGATGGTGATGCGTTCATAAGCATGCATGCAGTTGATGATGCTCTGTTTTTCTCTCAAGAAACTAAACTTTTTCTGTTGTTGTCATGCAAATGTTGTCTTGTGCTTGGGTCTGTCATTGTTTTCAACCATTGAAATGGGAGCTTAACTCCCCTTTTGTTATTGCGTAGTCTGAAGAAAATAATTTTTTTCTTATCCTTTCCTTCTATCCCTCACCCCATTGTCTCATGCTCTCTGCCCCTCCCTGCGTGCCTGCAGATGATACCCCCTCTTCTAGCCCTGTCCCAGAACCGCAGTAAGCTCAAGCTCTACATCGCCCACCTGACAGACCTCTGCCATGACCGGGACCCCAGCATCCTCAGCCAGCTCACGCCACCCTCTCACTACCACCAAAGCGACCCTGAAGACTGGGAGGAGGAGCTCCAGAAGATGAGTGTCGAACAGGTAGTGGAGGAACTCTCAGTTGCTCTCAAGTAGTGATTCTTGTGTATGGGGTTTTCCGATGTAGCTATGTGCCATTTCAAACAAACAGATGTAAATATCCCCAAAATATGCTTTACTTTTTTTTTTTTTTTTGAAACCTTGCAGAAATTTGTTGATGGTTGGATTAAAATGCATTTAAAAAGAAACTAATTCATGCTCTGTTCCCTCCAGTTGGAGCGGGAGTTGGAGGTGTGTGAGAAGGAGAGCGGAGAGCTGCAGGAGTACGCCAACTCTGTTCTCCAGCAGATCGCAGACTACTGCCCTGATATCCTGGAGCAGGTTGTCAATGCTCTGGAGGAGTCGTGCTGACAGCTCTGACCTCAGACACAACCTGGCTGACTACTGGTCTTCACATAACCTGTAGCTGAGCCCACGTGCCCCTACCTCCACCCAATGAGGCTCCAGGAAAGAAGGGAGTTATGAAGGAAGGAAGAAAGCGGGGGCATTATCTCAACCCACTGAGCTCTAATTCTTTGTTCCCCTCATCCACCCTGGAACAAACTTTCATGACCCCTGAGTGCTTTCCTGTCTCATGTGTCAGGCCTGCAAAAATCGAATTAGGGATGTTCACAAAGTCTGTCAAAATGCTGTTAAATATGTCACTTGGGGCAAATATCAGATTACTCACTTCAAACCGAGGCCTGCTCATTTAATGATGGCCACGGCAGATGGTGCAGTCGCAGTAAGAAGAGAAAAACTAATGTGCACACCTAGACATTTGTCAGGCGGGCAACAGCATGCTGGGGGTTAGTTAGAAATGAAATGTTTTACTCTTTTGCATTTGTGAACACACCAAATTTGATTTTTGCTTGTAGGATACTTGCAAAAACATCATTGCACACCTGTAAGTCTGGGACAGGTGCGTTGGGAGAGAAAAGATTTCAGACGAAAGAAGCAAACTTCCGCACAAAGTCTTGGAGTATACTGCCAACCTTCCTCTCCCTAGACGGGGTCATTCACAGCAGGAATTGCCAAATCAAGCACAGTTACCTCACCCACTTCTATCTCAGTCTTTTACCCCTTAGATTCCTCTCACAAATGTTGTAAGTTTATAGGGGTAAATTTATTCTTCACATGGGGCAGGAAAGCACTTTTTGCCTTGGAGAACTGGGGAGCTGCTACATCTAGAGGGGAGCAGAGAGGAGCTGAGTTCAGTGTGTAAATCACGGAGCCATGTGGATGCTTGTTTTGTGTTTTAGTCAGTGTTCTCTAAGCACTGGGTTGGAACCCAGTCACTAGTTAGAATACAGCTGCTGGTGGTCAGTCACCACTTTTTAACCAAATAAATGCAGCATGTTCTCCAAATGTTTCCTCTCCGAGCTGCGGGTCTGTCCATGTAGCAAGGATTAGGTTGTAGGTACATTTTACCGTGTCATCTGTGGCTGGGTCATTGGCATGGGAGGGGGAACAAGGCCTGACCTTTGACACAGATCAAAGATCAGAATTTAGTTACACTAAGTTTTCAACAGACGAGAGAGAGGAGAAAAAAAAAGCTTTTTATTCTTGGTGACGTATTAATTTTTAGATGGTTTTGCACACAACGTCCACTTGTTTATGAGGTATGCAATGTTTCTTTTGAGAACGTTCTAGTGGCCTTGGAGCATGCACAGAAATCAGTACTGGACCTAAAAGCAGGGATATTTATTCCTCTGTAATATTGGTGCTAAGGCATGATGTAGGGAATTTTCGATCTGATCCACTGATCATTCAGTCTAATCCAAAGTTTCTATAGATGTTACTTAAAGCCCACCTGCTCTTTTAGTTTGCAGACTGAATCATTGAAGAATACAAGCGATGCCCCTTTTTCTTGTGTTTTTCAGATCACTTACAAATGCAAGTGATGCCTCCTTTATTGTATTTTTTGAAATCTTCAGGGCTGAGGTTTTTAATTACTAAGTGCATCTACATTTACATTTACTTACAAATGAAAGTCACTTTTCAGCAGATTTTGACTTTTTAGATGAGTTTGTAAATAACGTGATATTTAACACGTGCAGTGACTGAATAAAGGTAATTAAGTGGAAGGTGTTGTGCATTCTTTAAAAAAAAAAAAAATCAGAAAAGTTACAAGCAGTGCAGTTGTCTTTTGTGTCCAATTTTGTCTTCAGGACAAAATGTGTGTGTGTGACAGTACTGCCATAACTTGCAGAAAGTCATGTTCTATAGAGATATATATATAAATATCATACATATATATAAAAATGTTTACTGTATGGATATGCATTGAATGTTTGCACAGAATCTTGAAGAGCGAGCTGCTCTGAACAAAAAGACCGTTGAGTTAGTATCCTCAGAAGAAACTGAGGAAAGAAGTGTCAAAAAAAAAAAAAAACAACAACTTTTGTGTCAAAATAATGTGTGAACTACAAATGTTTTCAAACCGTGACTGTGTGATGGGAGAGTACTTTTCTTGCATTTATTTCTAATTGTCATTTTTTTTATATATATTTTCACCACATGGTGATGTAAATGTATTATCCTGAGATTCCAGTGTTGTTGTCTTTTTTTTTGTTTGTTTTTTTGTTTGTTTGTTTTGTTCTTCTTACCTGTTCTGTCATGGTTGATGTCAAAGGCAGATTGAGCCTGATGGATAAAAGGAAATAAGTCTGCAACCATCGTGGCCCCCCTGCTGTTATAAGAGGAACATAATGTTACAGAACAAACAGTTGAACACTGCGTAGGTATATGTCTAAAAATAGATGAAGTTTTCTAACAAACTTCAGAGGTGTGGTTGATTTACAGATACATTTGGGTGGGTGGATTTTCAAAGTGGACTAATAGCATGTCATACTGAAAACATAACACACTTCTGGTTTTGGAGGATGTTTGATGCTTGTTTTTGTACTTCTCATCTGTCAAACCTCTCTGAGCGACGGTTCATTTCTTTTCATTCCTAACCCCTTTACTTTTCACCACTGGGTTCAGAGAAAGAAGAAGGCATTTTTTAAGTGTTTTATTTCCCTTACTTTGGCCTGTGTGTCCCTGCCCTTGCCTTAATGTCTTGTCATCTCTTTTTCTCGACTCCTTATTGAGGAACACAGAGCTGATTAAGGGGCTTCTGTCAAGTTCATGATATTAGTTTCTTTTCTTTTGCATTTGTACAAGAAATGTACTGCCTTCTGTCTCTTCGTGTTAAGAATCAAACTGTGTAAAAAGAAAGCAAAATAGACATGTTTGTCAGTTATTTGGATTTTGTATGTATGTAAATAAATAAATTATAAGCCTTGGTTTCTTGTTTAAGCTTCTTTTTTTTTTTCCCAAATTACAAAAATGAAGACAGCACTTATAAGCTCCACCCAAATGTGTGAAAGCTTGATTTGTTCTTTTAAAGACATTATACCAAAAGGTATAATCTGACTCTTAAGTGGTGTTGGTATTTAAACCCATGTTTATCCTGTGCAAATACTTAAGCTCTTCCAGGAAGACCATTAGTAATCGTGGAATTGAAATTCTACATTGATTAATTGACCATAGACCTGCATATTTGCTATGTAAATATATTATTTAACCCCTGAGAGGCCACTGTCATCTATACCCCTGGAGCTGATAGTCAGTATTCACACGTATCAAACCTTTACAGACTTGCATTTCATCTGCCTTTAGTGTAAATGTGAGTAAAAGAAAGAGCAAGAGTTCAAAATCCTATATGAGGAATATAAAATCATTTTGTTACAAATTTATGCAATTTAATTAATTCAAGTGATTGTTGTTTGTTCGCAAAAAATAATTTTGGATCAAATCAGATGAAAACGAGACAATCTCATCACAAGGTTCATTTAGTAGCTGTTCTGGAGCTTTCACATAATCTTCCTGAGGAGATAGCTCATCCAGTTGTCATGGGTTTGGAAATGTAGAACAGAACAGCAACTAAATGGTGAAAATGTTATTTCAGCTGACAAGAATATGAACTTCCAGTCTCAGGATGAAAACATATTTGGAAAATGGAACATGAACACTGTGCTTGATGTTTTGCCCATTTGTTCGTATATCATCCAACCATGTCAGTGCAATGAACTGTGGGTTGTTTCCTCAAGCGATGAAAGCAGGATTGCTGACCTCAGAGAGGTGTGTATACAGGGCCCAAAATGTTTGAGGCAGAAACCTTAAAGCTCTCATCAGTATTATAGTCAGAGCTGTGAGTCCTCACAAACTGAATGAGAACATGCATTATAGTGCGAGTAAGGAGACACTGGGGTCTTACTCAGGGATAACTAAGCAGGGTACATACTTGCCAAATACAGCTTTGAACCCAGGTGCTGAGATACAGTGGTGTATTATCTGAAGTTTTTAGTGCCAGCAGGATTTAATTGGTACCTCTCTGTGTAAATGCATTTTTCTACAGTATACCTTTTTTCATTCATAACGACTCAAACATTATCCAATGTTTTAATATCAGTTTGTTAAATGTGTATGAGGTGTGAATTCACCTCAGCTGCACAAGCTGGTAAAATATGAGGTATTGATAATTGGTATTACCAGCTGTAAAGTGATTAAGGATGATTATCCCAAGCTTAATTACATAATTCACTCTAGATTTCATTTAGCGGCAGCTTTATCTAAAATAGTACGCTTTAAAAAAAAAAAAGAAAAAAAAAAGAAACTCATCCAATTATCTTGTGCAGCATACACGTAAGAACTTGGCTTTGATATTTCAAAATGGTACATTGAACTGCACAAACCTGACAGACATAAGGTTATTATCGCAACTCAAATAATAGTTGGTAAAACTGTTACAAATAACACAAAAATTTGACAAGATTGAAACATATTTGCCATCTTTATTCATAAATATCACTACTGTATGAATATAAAACAATCTTAAATTACTGCTTTTTTTAAACAAATACTCTGACACTATCATTGGAAGCTCCTCAGGAGAAAAACCACTGATGAACAGTTTAAGGTATTGCATATAGCCTTTGCAGCTGTTAATTACTACGCCTTACTGTAGTCTTGTTGATAAACCTTTGACAGAGTAGCATACTGGAACATCTGATACATACTTATTTCCTCAGGAATATGAAACATAGCCAACTATACATAGGTAAACAAAGACAGACAGGAGTGATCCACCCACTTCAATTTGAAGTACAATTTTGTCAACAACACTCATTCATTACAAAAAATATTGGTTACACAAGTAAAAAATACATCAGCCAAAAAAAACATTCTATCAAAACTTCAATCCAAGGTACTCCAGACTTTTTGTTAAGAGTTAAAATGCCTACCTATTATTCTGCAATGAGATTTTTTTTTTAAATATCAAAATCTCCATTGGTGTGTGAGTCACAAAAATATGCAAAGTAATCTAGTATTCAGCGATAGTAGGCACTCCTGTGTTTGATGGGTGAGGTAGCTAGATAGTAAGAACTGTACACTGGCTGAGATTTAACAATGCACCTCAAAAGGAGAGCACAAAACTGAAACAAAGTCAGAGTAAGAGTGGATATTGCAGCGGAGGTGAACAATATTCCAGTGATCAATGCTGAGCCCCTCTCCTTGTTTTTAGTCACAGTATAGAAGGTAAAATTAAGAAACCGAGCACTGTACACAATGAAACACATGTATACTAAATGGGAGGGCTTTCACCTCACTCTCTCACTCTCAGTCATCTGCCACAGTCCCAGGTTTAACACTTTAAGGCACGGGAGCTGTGTTATCCTCTCCAGACCTCTCTTGGTGATCTTAGTACAACCGTACAGATCAATTCCTGTCAGCTGGGTCAGGTGGTCGGCTATCAACTCCAACCCTTTGTCTGTGATTCTCACACACTGTCCAATGTTCAGAGTCTTGAGTTCATGCATCTGGCGTACCATCCTGTTAATGCCATCATCACTGATATGGCATGAACAAAGAGAGAGGGACTTGAGCTGATACAAGCCCTGGGCGATGTATGCCAGGCTCTGGTCCCCGATCTTATCACAGAAAGAGACATCAAGTCCAGACAGCCGGAGGGAGCCCATGGCCAGATGCATTATCCCTGTGTCACTGATGTTATCACAGGACCGCAGATTCAGGCTGCACAGGTGGGTCATATGTGACAGGTGGATCATCCCTGCATCCGATATCCCTCCACAGAAGCTGAGGTTGAGCACTTTAAGCTTGTTTAGGCCCTTTGACACATGTTTGAGAGAAAGATCAGTCAGCTTCTGGCAGTCCTGCAAGGTTAACTTCTCCAGAGACAGGCAGCCCTCCGCAGCACTGCGGGTCATGCCAGACAGGTGACCGATGCCCACATCGGACACATGCCTGCAACTGCGCAGGTTAAGGCTCTTGAGTCTGTGCAAGCCCCAGGCAATGAGCAACAGGCCTGTGTTTGTGATATTGCTGCATCCCCCAAGTTCAAGCACCTCCAAGTTTTTGAGGTACTGGGCAATCCTGCCCAGGCTGGAGTCTGTGATCTGTTTACATAGACTGAGGTTCAGTACCCGCAGTGATGGGATGTCCTGCACAAAGGCATGTCCGAGTCCGTTGTCTGTGAGGTTGAAGCACCCACACAGGTTAAGGCTTTCGATGTGCGGCATCCCTTGAATCACATAGCTCAGACTTCGCCTCAGGCTGAGAATCTGAACTTTCTTGATCCCTCTGGTCTGCAGACTGGGGAACAGAGACGGGTTAGCCCGCCGCAGATGGAGCTTGGCTTCCACCCCCCTCCACACCGACTTGTGGTAGGACGCGTCTCTCCAGGCCGCGCACACTTGGGCTACTCTTCCTTTGTCTTTAACGTCCAGATAACTGAAAATAATGGCCAGGATCTCAGGGAAAAGGCACGATATATGTGTCTCCATTTCAAACATGGCTGCAGGTTGACTGCTTACAGCAGCAGAGGTTGCTTGTGGGCGACAATACTGTCGTAGTTAGCTCGCCGAAACTCTCCTGCAGAAGTTGTTGGCTGGCTCGGCGACGCTAGCTTATGTCAGCTAGCATACGGACAGGATAACTATAGCCAGTTAGCTTTGCGCGCAACGTATCAAAAATCCACCCATCTCACAGGAGAGAGGCTTACTATTAAACTCAATAAAATGATGGTACAAATGAACTACTAACGGCCAGTTCTTGGGTTGACAACGTGGACGCAGATGCAGGAAACTCCGAAAGGCAGTCTATTTACCTAGCGAGCTAGGCTAACGCTATTAGCTAACGTCGGCGTAGCGTTAGCATTAGCTGTCTAAACTTGTGAGCTTCAAAGACGAACAACGTCCTCGTCCAGTCTTTCCAAAACAATTTATTCTTCACTCCACCTCATCGCAGAGCGTATCCAGGAACTTTTCTGTTCGTAGAAACTTTCAGCTACAGAGCTGTTTCCTCGTACAAAGGTGACTGCCAGGCTCCTTTACCTTCAGAGGCATTTCCAGCAGCGTCGGAGCATCCCGGATCTCCACTAATGAATAAACCGACTCTGGTGGCTCAAAGCCGGTTCAGACACTGACCAGCGGCTCCTACTGGAAGTAGTAAGTATCGTTACTGTTGTTACTGGCTCCATAATACAATTCTAATACAACTATCAATGACAACATTTGGCTGCATTAAAAATATAGAATTAAGTACTTCAGGTGCAAATTAGAACAATAAAGTGTGTTTATTGTCTGATTCATGTTACAAAGCCACCTGTTTACGGTTACAAACAAACTGTAAACAGGTCAAATATGAATGTGATTAAGTTACTGTATTGGAGGAAAGTACTAAAGAGATAGTAGCTGCATATGTGATTTCCTAAAACCTGAAACATTACCATTAATTTATTGTTAGAATATAATGAACATATAATCAATATTTAACCAGTTCAGTGGGCAAAAAGTTCTCAGACCACTACATTATTAGTCTTTTTAAAATCAAAACACAATGCTGATAGGCTTTTTCAGTTCACTTTATAACCTACTTATAAAGCTGAGAAGAGAGATGTTTGTATTAGTGTTTGTTCCCTTTTGGGGAGACTTGAAAAAGATTCTCAAAGAGATGCCTCTCTGAATATTTGTATCCTTTGTGCTAACTTACCTTGAAACCAACCACTTTTGTTCCAAATTGCTTGATGTTTTACCCCACAAAATAAAGCAAAACAAAAGCAACAGGATGAACAAAAAAATAAAGACTGTTTAGTGTGTTTAATATAACTGTCTCTGTTGACTGTTAACGAATAACAAATGATAAGTAATAATAAGTGTGTAAATAATAATAATAAGTGGACTGACATACAAAGCCAGGCATACAGGAAATT